CACCACCACCACCACCACCACCGTCGGACTGCGCGGCCGCCCGCTGCTGCTTGCGCACCCGCACGGTGCCGTCCACCGGGTCGTACACCACGTCGTGCACGTGGGAGTGCCGCAGCTCGTGCAGCACCCGCGACTCGTCCACGCCGAGGATGCGTGCAAGCTGGTCGACGGAGAAAACGGCGTCGGTGCTGTACATGAGCTCGAGGAGCCGATTGCGGACGTGAATGATCCCCGCGTCCGACTCACTGTCCGTCATGGCTGGTGGTGCGGCACCGTAAGAAGGATTGTTGACTGCGCACTTCTCCTCGCAGTCACACACACACACACAAAGGCGCATGGAAATACAAACGCCGAGCACACAGAAGCAGATGGAGAAGGAGAAGGAGGCACCATGCGAAAACACATCGTTACGGTGAATAAACAGCAAACACCTCTTAGCGCTTGTCAATCACCCCACCGCGGGGGTAGCATATAACCGTTAGCGCAAACACATCCGTCCGCAAACGCAAGCCATTATTCAAGAACGAACGAAAAAACAACAACAACAGAAGAAATGATCCACAGAACGCCACCACCACCACCATCATTCCTCAGAGATGTTTCGCGATAAATGGTGCAACCGCCGTAATGAATTCTGGCAATTTCTCGTAGTGGACGAAGTGACCAGAGCCCGCCACCTCAGCCTGTGTGGCGTTCGCAAAAAAGAGATCAATCATCTTGCGGTCTGCAGTGTTGTTGTACGGTGACTTCTCTCCGAACACAAAGAGCGTCGGCAGCGTGCACCGCTCCGGGCCCACCATGCTGGTGTTGCCATTGGGCGCATGCTGCGCCCTCCTCTCGTCGGCATTGACGTACCACTGCCACAAGCCGGACTCCATTTTTCTGTAGTCCGCGCGCAGCACGGGGAGGTTGCAGCGCCACTTCGCCTCCCCCGTCTTCGAGTTCAGGCGGAGGTTTGTCAGAATAAAATCCCGCATGTCCTTGTCTCGCACACCCGCGCGTTCCAGTGCAGCGCCGCCATCACTAAAGCTGTGCACGTGCGACAAGTCTACCGCAGTCATGGCGTCAAGCGTTGCAGCCACACTGTCGGACGCCTCCCGCCCCGTCCCAAGTCGCGTCGTCGGTGCAATGTCGACAATGACAGCAGCCTTCACGCGGGGAATTTTCCGCGTTTTTTGCTGCTCCCTCGACGATGCAACAGAGTTGCCACCGCAGCAGTAAAGCACGTCCAAGAGCGGCTGCTGCGGAGGGAAGCCCATGGCTTGGTTGGCAGAACGCATTTCCTNTGCGTAGCTCTGCTCGTCGCTCCATCCGTAGTACTCGCCCTGCTCGCAGCGGGCCTGCAGCTCCTCCGCGCTGGGCAGCAGCAGCGCCGCCTCGTTGGTGCGGCGCAGCATAGTTGCCATTAGCGCCAAGCCTCCCATGCTGTGGCCGATCAGCACAACACCATCGTCGTCGCTTCGCTCTTCGTCATCCTGATGCTGCTGCCCGCGCTGCATGACGAACAGCTCAAGGTCCGATGCCATCGCCGCACTTGTATGATTTGGAGCATGCGGGCTTTCCCCGTGATTGCGCATGTCAAGCATGCTGACTTCGTGCAGTTTGGGACGAATAAGCTCATGCTCCGCCAGGCGACGAGCTGCCGTCGACCAATTCGAACTGTTGCCAAGAAGGCCATGTGCAATAACGATACGCGAGGCGCATTTTCCCCACGCCCCACCGCGGACCGTTTTGTACGCCAAATTCTGCATTCAATTCGCCACGCACCCCTCTCTTGTTGTACGCCACACACTAAGATACAAGACGCAACGCGAAGGAAATAGGAGCAAACAACTGTAGGAACGTGAACTTTGTCCTTCCCAGTTGTGAGCAAACAGGGAAAATAAGGTGGTGGCATCTCAAAGGGCAAAAGAGCAGGAAGGTGGCAACTTCGCCATGGATGTTCAAACAAGAGGGGGGGGGGGGNGGGGGGGGGGGGTGTAAGGAATGATACCACAATAACAACAGAGCATATTGTTTCTACATACACAAGGGGAAAAGAACACGGAAACAACACATAGGGGTCATCTGCGATGACACACCATGCTTCCCCTCTCCTTCCTCTTGATCTCTAAGGCTCACTCTCAGGCATCGCCGCCACCCACCATGGCCACAAAGTCCAAATAGTTGATCCTGCCAGTACCGTCGGGGTCCACTGCGGCCAGGAGCCGCGCCGCCTCGTCGTGGGTGAGTTTCTCCGTGCCGTACGACACCAACGCGTGCTCGAGCACCTCCGTCGACACGTAGCCGGGCGGCATGTCCTCCGTCTCGAAGAGCTTAAACGCACTGCGCAGCTGCTCCAGTGTGTAGTCGGACTGCACACGCTTCGACATCATAGCAACGAACTCGTCAAAGTCAATGCCTTTTGCCGCGTCGGCGGCATCTGCGTCACGGAACATCTGCTCGAGCTCCTCCTCAGTGGGGCGCAGGCGCAGCGTTTCCATGAGTTTGCGCATCTCCCCCTGGGTGATGTGCCCACTGTGATTGGAGTCGACGAGATCGAACATCTCGCGAAACTCTTCCACCTCCTTCTTACTAATTGAATGCATCGTGTTGATTGTTGAGATGGTGTATCGTTTCTACCACCAAGCTGTGGGTATGTATCGTTCTTTTTTTCTGTTTGTTTCCTCCTCTTCCTCACTGCTTGTGCCCACTTCACCTCCCACCTCAGTCTGTTCCAGCCCTCCTCTTGTGAGGGATGAAGTAGCTGCGCTAGCACACTGGCGAGAGAGAACAACAACAACAGCAACAAGAGGCAATGAGCACAATGCCAGAGCCCGATGCCCACAGTCACAAGCACACACTAAAAACTAAAGCAAATAGACACAAATACGCACCCCTCCTTATTTTGTCCCACCCGTGCCCTCCCCCGACACAGCTGCTGCCATGTGCCGCAACCGCCCCAACCACGCCATGTATTCCTCCTGTTCGAGGAAGAACTGCATCTGGCACACGTACTCACAGAACTCAGCCGAGAGCCCAAGGTCGCCCTGAAGGTAATCCTGAAGGGCCTCCAGCATCTCCTTCGACAACTCACTCACACACGGCCCACCAAAGCACAACGCACGGCTGTATTCCCCGCTGGTGTCGAAGCAGTCAACCAGAAACTCGTACGCGGAGTCACACATTCCGTTGCCTGTGGCCGTACTCATTGATGACGACGAGAACGTTGGTGACGCCTTCGGGTGTTGTATTTTGTGCACGAGCGTCAGTGGATCGTCATAGCGGCGCACCGACCGAAGACGGCGCGTCGACGCGCGTTCATGACGGCGACAGCGCATCAACTCCAAAAATGTCGGCTCACCCCGCCCAAAGCATGCGTGTTCTTCCAGCGCCTGCGCCTCACGCCGCGAGAGGAGCTGGACGGAGCGAACACGCATCTCACTGTTAACGCTGGCTAGACGAAGAAACATACAGAGACCGTCCTCCTCAACCAAATGCGGTAACGACTCGAGAGGGTTGGTTGGCCCCCTCCTCTCATTACTGTTCGTACTGCCCACTGCCGATTTTCGCACGAGCACGTCGAAAGCTGACCACTCACAGATATTAACAGAGGAGTCATGTGAAGAGGGGTCGTACACGCGAAATGGGGCAAACACACGCAGCTGAACATCGGCTCTCTCTACACTTGGCTGGTCACGCGTTGTTTCCATCGCGTGCAGCACTGGGCGACGCCTAGCCCCTGCTTCGTATCCAACCACCATCCTGCTGCTGGAGGCATCGCTGGACTGAGCGGACCCGCTGGCCGCACCGCCACGCGTGTGGCCTCCCGCTCGCTTTTGCTGTTGCCGCCGCCGGTCCTCCCCCACAGACTGCAGGAACATATCATGCACGCTTTGGTATCGTCGTGTGTTCAACTCTGCAGACCGCGTGCCGCCACGCAGCGTGCACGTCATGACAAAGAAGTTTGACCCCACAGGATGCTGCACCTTCCAGCCGAGCGGCGGCAGCGGTGGGATGGCCGCTACACCGTCGCGACTGTCGCGCTCAATCTCCGCCCTAATCTCTGCCTCCGCAGCGTCGCGCAGCACGAGGCCCGCTGCGCACAAGAGCTCCGTTGCAGACTTCGAGTCATCATGCAACTGCGCACGTCGTGGCGAGGGGGCGTCGCAGAATGCCAGCGGCGATGTGGACGGCTCGTCACTCCGAGAGCCATCAGCGGCGAATACGTCATCTGAGGACGAACCGCGCCCGTCGCTCAACGAGCAGCACGCCCTGCTGACTGTAAGCAACGCCGAAGCTGCGCTGCTGGTGTTGCTGTTTTTGTTGGCATGGCACGGCCTCACCCAATGGTGCCGTCGCAGTGCGCTGCCCGCGGCCTGTTGCCCAAACGAGGAGCATCGCTGACGCCACGCGAACATCGGGGGTAAGGAAGAAAGGGACGGCGATGACCCCACCCTCCCTCTGCACACCTGTTTCACAAGAGGTAAGAAGGAAAAAAAGAGAAAAGGTTTTTTTTTTTGAGAAAGAGAGACGCAAAAAAAAAAAGGGCAAGGTGGCGCAGATCATGCGTGCTATCAATGCGTTGCCGTCTCTACCAGTCGCTGCAACAATGGCAGCGCCAGAAGTAGCTACACATGCATGGGCCGCAGCAAAGGTGCATACACCAACGAGCAGTGCGTACACAGCGGCCGCGATGGTTTCAACTCATTCTGTTGCTCCTCCTCGTCGTCTGCCCCTTTTGTCGTTTTTTTTTTTTGCTGTTCTTGTTTTTTGTTTTTTGTTTTTCCTTTACATGAAGAAGGAGTGCGTAGCCAATGCCGCAGCAGAAGGAACAAGAACAGCCGAAGCAGTTCAGCCACCGCCTTGTCACTCCCTCGGCTGGTGTTCTTGCCGCCTCACCGCCACACTGACGCTCTGCAGCTGTCCCTGCGCTGCTTAGTCCAGCTTGAGGAAGAACACCGTCACGAGGCAGTGCATCGTCTCGTTTTCAAACGGCACGTGCACGACACCGTCGAGGGTGTTGTCCCAAAGACTAATGAAACCAGTTGAGAGGCCGGCACCCGTTCGTTGCATCACAACGCAGTTAACGATGTACTTGAACGGCTTCTTGAGGTCGGCGAGATTTTTCAACACGCTCTCAATGACGTCGTCCACCCAGCCGTCCACTTTGCGCGGATTCCATGACTCCTGCGCGAACTTGCCACGCAACAGCATTGTTACCTCTTCCTGTATCATGTCGCTGTTGATCGCCACGTCCTCGTGGACCTCCTCGTGGTGCTCCACCGCCATTTTGCTTCCTTCTCCTTGTCCTCTACAGTCTATCCCTCAGTAACTCTCTCTCTCTCTCTCTACCAGTGTCTCTCAATCTCTCAATGTATATATATATATATGTGAATATATATACACACACTTTGCTTTCGCACTTCACCTTCTCCTTCCTCTGGGCGGTGTACACGTCACGACCACCGCACCGCAGCAAGCGAGACAAGGAAGAAGAAAAAAAAAAAAAAAAAAAAACCCCAA